AGAACGCAGGGAGCGCATAGAAAAAAGTGCCATTAAAACATTCTACTCAGAGTATGGATTCAATTTCAAATAACTACAACACTGAATCTAAAATAAAGAGGAAGCCTTAAAATGATTATTTATACTAAAAAATCAATTAAATGTGTACCGATGTTCAGATGTTAGAATAAAACAAAAGATGAATTTTAAATATTATTTAAGCACTTATGTGCACCTAAGCTCATTGCAAATCGCAGTATCCATGTGTACACAAGTAGTCATCTTAGTTCATATCTTCAAGGTATCGATAGACAAGATGTTTGTGGAGGTATTCTGAGTTCAGCTTCTCACCCGTCGCTCTCTCTACAAGTTCATCGGTCGTGTAGAGGCTGCCATGGTCCCAAATCTTTTCTTTTTGCTTCGCCAAGATGCACTCCAGGTCGCCTGTCTGGAGGCATTTAAGCAGTTTCTCCTCGCCGAGTTCCGTACGGATCGTCGCCATGAGCTGCGCCGCGAGCAACGCCCCAATGAAGTACGTTGGGAAGTAGCCAATGGAGCCTTTTGACCAATGAACGTCCTGGAGGCAACCCAGGTCGTCTCGGCCGGTCGTCTCGATCCCCAAATATTCCTTCATCTTTGCATTCCACACACTGGGCACCTCCTCGGGCTGCAGTGTCCCATCCACAAGGTCGCGTTCGATCTCATAGCGCAGGATGACGTGCAACGGGTAACAGATCTCATTCGAGCCAGGACGGATGAAGTTCGGCTTCGCATTATGAACGGCACGGATGAAGTTCCCCAGGTTAAAGGCTGGCTGAGGGCCGAGGTGGGCCTCGACTTTGGGCTGAATGAACTCCAAAAAGGGCTTTGCGCGGGAGAGCTGGCATTCAGCGAAGAGGGACTGGCTCTCGTGCACACCAAAAGAGCGGGCTGTACAGACGGGTTGCGTAATCAGTTGACGCGGCCCCATGTTCTGTTCGTATTTGCCGTGTCCCACCTCGTGAATGACAGCGTGAAAGCACTTCAAAGGATTATCCTCGGAGTAAAACGTCGTGATGCGGCAGTCCTCCTTAGTCATGCCGGCGAAGGGGTGCGGACTAGTATCCAGTCGTCCCGAATCAAAGTCGAACTTCCAGATACGCATCAGATCCTTGCTGAGTGCCGTTTGCTTGTCCTCGGGAAAAGGTCCTTTGAACGGAATGATGGGGTCTTTTACTGATTCCTGTTTCTTTATAACATCCCGTAGCAGTTGTGGTAACCATGATTTAACTTCCCCAATAAGCGCGTCCATACGGGCGATCGTCGCCCCTGGCTCGTAAACATTCATAAGGGCTTCATATGGGGTCTGTGAAGAATCCGCCGCCAGACATGTCCCTTCTTCGCGGGCAACCAAGACAAGTTCCTTTAATACAGGTAAGAAATCGGAGAATTTATTATCAGACCGGCTTTTTCTCCATACCTCATGGGCCATAGTGGTAAGTTTCGCCTTACGAGCTAAGAAGTCTTCCGATAGTGAGTTCATGCGCTTCCATAAAAGAGTCATTTCCCGAAGATTGCCTTTCTGAACGGCAGAAAGTTCATCTTGTGCCGCGGTGGATTCATCAATCCACTTCTTCACATCTGGTGCAGTAATGTACTGATATTTGAGTTTCTCCAACATTGCAATGGCCTCCCCGCGAGACTCCTGACCTTTAGGAGGCATATACGTCCTGATATCCCAATGACATAGCCCAAGGACATGTTGAAGACGATAAATCGTCTCGAAAAGAGACTCCAGCTGGTTATATGCGGACATATCGAGTAGCTTTAGGACTGAATAAAACCTTAGTTTAATATTTTAAAAAAATGGTGACAATATTTGCTTATAAAAATTATAAAAGACGACCTCTGGGTTCAAGCGCAGGAAATATAATTATAGCATCGTTCTTCGTCAGTCTCCCTTCTCTAAGAGGTTGGACAAGATATCCGTAAACCGTCAAATCAGTGAAATATGCCTGCATTTACGATGTCTAACATGTACACATACCGATTCATTTTGTTCTGTGTTGTTGTTT